TATTTTCGTATAGGATTTATGGTTGTATTCTCGTTTTCTTGGTCTCATTTGATAGAATGGAAAACATATTATAGAGGTGATTTCGATTGGTTTTACTATGAAAAGAACCTTGAAATGGAGCTCAAAGTAAGGGAAATGTTTGATTTTTGCCAATGTTCAAAAGTAAACAAATGATGTCATTGTCCAATAAATGTCCAACTAGCCATTCTGATATGCAGTCATTAATGGGTTGGCATTATTACAATATTGCAGTAGCCTGCATAACAATAAATCTTCTATTTTTTGTTTGAATAAAAATTCAAAATAGAAAGCAAGAGTAATATCAGAGGGGCCTGGAGATGTGATTGATGAACAAAGAAAATGTTATTTTAGAGCCTAGAATGTCTGCATTGTTCATTCTGGACCCTATTTTGAAACTGGAATATTTTTTAATTTGCGTGAAATTGGCCAAATTGCAAATTTCTGACTATGTTATTGGGTAGTTGAAATAGGTAAATGGGCAGTTTCTTGTACTCAATAGAATAAATGGAGTTCTAAAGAAATGGCTATGAGTTTGGTCGGCTGGAACAATGGAATTAGCCGAAAATAGGGCTCAAAGTAGGCGAAATCGCCAATTCGTAAATATCGCCGAGGTCGCTAACTTTGCAAGAGTGTAATTCCATAAGTTTTTCCATCAAATTTCGTTCTTTTGCTGTCATTACCATCGGGAAAAGTTTCTCTGTCATTTCATAAGAAAAATTTTTTTTTTTTTTTTTTTTTTTTTTTTCCAAAAATTTTTTGACACCAGGAGACACCTCAGGATTTGGGGTTGCAACAGTCAAGGGGTTAAAGTGCAGGCATTGTACTTCCCATTTCCAGGACTCAAGTCCGGCTATATAAAAATAACTGGTTTCCCTGAATCCCTCCACTAAATATTACCCTGCTCACACTCCAACAGCTCATCAGATCCCAAAAACCATTCATCTCCATTCACTCCTATCTAACAGGCTCATGCACGCTTGCCGGAAGTCCAAGTCCCTCGCCCATAAAACCTCCTTTACCCCCTCCCTCCAACCTTTTCGAGGACGACCTCTACCCCACCTTCCTTCCCCTACAGATTTATACGCTCTCCATGTCATTCTACTTTGATCCATTCTCTCTAAATGACCAAACCACCTCAACAACCCCTCTTCAGCCCTCTGACTAATACTTTTATTAACTTCACACCTTCTCCTAATTTCCACACTTCGAATTCTCTGCATAATATTTACACCACACATTGCCCTTAGACAGGACATCTCCAATGCCTCCAACCGCCTTCTCGCTGCAGCATTTACAACCCAATCTTCACACCCATATAAGAGTGTTGGTACAACTATACTTTCATACATTCCCTTCTTTGCCTCCATTGATAATGTTTTTTGTCTCCACATATACCTCAACGTACCACTCGCCTTTTTTCCCTCATCATTTCTATGGTTAACCTCATCCTTCATAAACCCATCTGCTGACACATCAACTCCCAAATATCTGAAAACATTCACTTCTTCTATACTCCTCTTCAATGTGATATCCAATTTTTCTTTATCTAAATCATTTGATACCCTCATCACCTTACTCTTATCTATGTTCGCTTTTAACTTTCTGCCTTTACATACCCTCCCAAACGTGTCCACTAACCTTTGCAATTTTTCTTTAGAATCACCCATAAGCACAGTATCATCAGCAAAAAGTAACTGTGTCAACTCCCATTTTGTATTTGATTCCCCATAATTTAAACCCATCCCTTTCCCCAACACCCTAGCATTTACTTCTTTTAGAACCCCATCTATAAATATATTAAACAACCATGGTGACATTACACATCCCTGTCTAAGACCCAGCTTAACTGGGAAGTAGTCTCCCTCTCTTCTACACACCCTAACCTGAGCCTCACTATCCTCATAAAAATCCTTTACAGCATTTAGTAGCTTGCTACCTATTCCATATACGTACTAGCAGCATCTGCCACATTGCTCCCCTATCCAGTCTATCACATGCCATTTCTAAATCCATAAATGCAATGAAAACTTCCCTACCTTTATCAAAATACTGTTCACATATATGCTTCAATGTAAACACTTGATCTACACATCCCCTACCCACTCTAAAGCCTCCTTGCTCATCTGCAATCCTACTCTCTGTCTTAACTCTAATTCTTTCAATAATAACCCTACCATACACTTTTCCTGGTATACTCAGTATACTTATTCCCCTATAATTTTTACAATCTCTTTTGTCCCCCTTCCCTTTATATAAAGGAACTATACATACTCTCTGCCACTCCCTACATACCTTCCCCTCTTCCGTACATTTATTAAACAAAAATACCAACCACTCCAACACTATATCCCCCCCATGCTTTTAATATTTCTGTCATGATCCTGTCAGTTCCAGGTACTTTACCCCCTTTCATTCTACGTAATGCCTCACACACCTCCCCCACACTCACCCCCTGCTCTTGTTCACTCCTAAAAGATGTTATACCTCCCTGGCCAGTGCATGAAATGATCGCCTCCCTTTCTTCATCGACATTTAAAAGTTCCTCAAAATATTCCCAACATCTACCCAATACCACCAGCTCCCCATCTACTAACTCCCCTACTCTGTTTTTAACTGACAAATCCATTCATTTCCTAGGCTTTGTTAACTTGTTTAACTCACTCCAAAATTTTTTTTCATTAAAATTTCTTGACAATGCCTCACCCACTTTATCATCTCTCCTTTTGCACTCTCTCACCACTCTCTTCACATTCCTTTTACTCTCCATATACACTGCTCTTCTTATAACACTTCTGCTTTGTAAAAACCTCTCATAAGCTATCTTTTTCTCTTTTACCACACCCTTTACTTCATCATTCCACCAATCACTCCTCTTTCCTACTGCACCCACCCTCCTATAGCCACAGGCTTCTGCCCCACATTCTAATACTGCATTTTTAAAACTATTCCAACCCTCTTCAACCCCCCCCCCCACTACTCATACTTGCACTAGCCTACCTTTCTGCCAGTAGTTGCTTATATCTCACCCTAACTTCCTTCTCCCTTAGTTTATAGACTTTCACATCTCTTACTTGTTCTTTCCATTTTCCTTTCGTCAGATCTACCTCTTACTCTAACTTTAGCTACAACTAAATAATGATCCAATATATCAGTTGCCCCTCTGTAAACATGTATATCCTGAAGCCTACCCATCAACCTTTTATCCACCACTACATAATCTAACAAACTACTTTCATCATGTGCTATATCATACCTTGTATACTTATCCTCTTTTTCATAAAATACGTACAGTGGTACCCCAAGTTTCGTACAGCTTCCAACTCGAACAATTATGTAAGTGTATTATTGTAAGTACTTTTTTAAGTGTATTTTTGGAGGTCTGAAACTGACTAAACTAAATTAATTAATCCTTATGGGAACAAATTCGTTTGGTAACGGCACTTGAACAGCCTTCAGGAACGAATTATGGCCGAAACTCTAGTACCACTGTATTACTTATTACCAAACCTCTTTCTACACATAGCTCAATTAAAGGCTCCCCATTTTCATTTACCCCTGGCACCCCAAATTTACCTACTCCCTCCACAACATTTTTACCCACTTTAGCATGAAAATCCCCAACTACAAAACTCCCCACACACTCAACATTTCCCAAAATCTCTCTCTATCCTCTACACTTCTCTCTTCTCCAAGTGCATAAGTGCTTCCTATAACCCACTTTTCACATCCAACCCTTGTTTTACTCCACATAATCCTTGAATTAATACATTTATATTCCCTCTTTTCCTGCCATAACTTATCCTTCAACATTATTGCTACTCTTTCTTTAGCTCTAACTCTATTAGAAACCCCTGACCTAATCCCATTTATTTCTCCCCACTGAAACTCTCACGCCCCCTTCAGCTTTGTTTCACTTAAAGCCAGGACATCCAGCTTCTTCTCATTTATAACATCCACAATCGTCCCTCATCATCTGCACAACATCCACGCACATTCAAACATCCCACTTCGATGGTTTTCTTTTTTTTCTTTTTAGTACACTATACAGGAAAAGGGGTTACTAGCCCATTGTTCCTGGCATTTTAGTTGACTTTTACAACAAGCATGGCTTACAGAGGAAAGATTCTTATTCCACTTCCTCATGGATATAAAAGGAAAAGCAATAAGAATAAGAACTATTAAGATAAAATCAAAGAAAAGTCAGATGAGTGTGTATATATAAATGTGTACATGTATGTGCAGCTGTCACAAAAAAATTATAGGTTGATACATTTACTAAAATTATTATTAAGGCATTACCCCATGAGTACATCTGAGCTCACTCATGACAATCTTTACCCCTTGATGCCAGTAAAGGGGCTCTTAATCCAAGGAACTGAACCTAACCTCCTCTTTGGATCAAACTCGAGTCCCTCCTATTTCCCCAAGTGCTATATTACACCTACAGGTTTAGTGCTTCATCAATCAAAATAAATATGTCAGGCTTTATGGTGGGAAAATATTTACTAAATATACAAACTAAGACCAAACATAAGTAGAGTAATTAATCTCTCCTTGATAAAATTACAGATGCAGTTTTAAATGACCATTCAACATCATATGTAAACTGATATCTGTATATTAATATTTCTCTTATTCAGCATGATTAACCAGAATTCTCCCAAATTCAGATGAATTTAGAATAATTTCTGAAATTTTGTATTTTCTGAACAAGAGCAACAATTTTTAATTAAAATTTAGATTTTGGAACAGGCCAGCAGAATTCTTTCAAATGAGAGAGAACACTCCAAAAAAATATTTTAAAGTAATTTTCTGTAATTCAAAAATCATTGCACAAATATCAGTTCAAATAAGAGCTACAGTACTGTATATCATTGAATAGAAAGTCAATTTTTTAGTCTTATAAATAAATGAATTTTTGGCATGATACAAGTATTTACATTACAGTCTTATATACACAGCATTATTAAAAGAAACAATTTGTAAAATATATACATTTAATGCATTGCTCATTCATGTTATGAACAGGATATGGCTAAGTTTCACAAGCATCGTTTTGTCATAAGCTAAAATCTATTTATACATAAAAATATTAATTTTATCATTTTTTAATGAACCTTCAAAATCTTTAATCAATGCAAATGCTACATTATATTTGAGCAAATGACTTGTTCCTTCTGGGCTCTTGCCAACCTTCAGGGATTGAATCCTGGAACATTCAACAGTTAACGGTGTCAAAAGACATTTGAAGATGTACCTGAAATTAGTTAAAATAAAAAAAAAATCACATTAGTTTGTTTGTATCACATAAGTAGTGCAGTCACTACATACTTGCACTTACAAAAAAAAAAAAAAAGTTTGGGAAAACTGAGTAAGATTCATCTTATCAAGAAAAAATTAGAACAGGGCAGAGCAATTATGCTCCAGAATTGTATTTGAGAAAGGGTTGAACCCATGTGGGTTACTCAATGATACATGGTGAGGATATGGGGTATGGTACAGGGAAAAAAAATACAAGTGTTTAAATGACAACTGCAAAGGGAGAATGGTTACAATCAGTGTAGCAAAGTAGTGTCGGGATGCAGAGGTGTAATGTCAGTAAGTAAGGGCATGAAGACAACATACAGAACAAGCTTTCATTGGCACTGTTTTGCTCAGAGTTGAGCAAGTCACAGAAAGGGTACTTTTTACATACATACTCATGCCAGGTGTTGATGCAGTTAGAACACTTCAGTCATCCTTCTGGTCTATTATTTACATTTACTACTGTATTATGGACTAAGTGTTTATGTATCATTCATCGCAACCTGCACATGGAATGGTGTATACACCAGGAATGCTGCAAACTGGTTCTTAAGAGTCCAGGTCTGGTGTCAAATAATTTTTGATGGATACTTTTTTTTAAATTACCTTATTATTATTATTATAATCAAGGGGGAAGCGCTAAACCCGGAGGATTATACAGCGCCTGGGGGGGGGATGTGGAAGGCATTCAGGCTTAATTCGGGGAACTGATAAATTACCTTATGAGCAGACAGATGTCTTATCTTTCCAAAAGGCAACATTACAGATCTCATCATGACCCATGGCCGGGCTCAGAGAGTAGACAAACTCTCGAAACTCTTCTTCAAAGATATGGCACTGAAGAAAAGTGGTACGTACTAACATAGCTATGTCAGAAACTATTTGTGTCTTTACCAGAACTGAACACACAATTAGCAGCAGTGATGGTGCATACACCATTCTATGCATAGATAGTAATATATGAAAGAAAAGTCAAGGAGCACAGACACCAGAATTCAGGAACACCAGTACACTTATAAGGTTCACAACACTACTACACATGTTATTCATCGAGACAAACACGAACACCTTATGGCATGGAAAAATGCCAAATGTTATTAAAGGACAGATCCTGACAATAATGCTTGGACTTCCTGATCATCAGCACAAGACCTTACAACAGAACCACTGTGCCTGCAGCCTACCAAAACCCTTAGCACACATTATCCTACATGGAAAATGCCCATAATCCAATAACTCAAAACTGAATTATGAAACAGTAAGTCAACTGCAATGTTTTGCTATCCTTATCATCAGCAGCTGACATAAGATTCTTTATTATTCCTGACCCTTATGGGTTTCGCACTATATCTGATTGTGATAATTTATTGTTCTTCACTCTCTCAGAGTACAGTATATGTGTACAATAATAATCTCTCTTATAACCTGTGTGTCCAACATGCAAGCAGGAGCGTACAATCAACAACAATAGAGGATATCCAGAACCCTAACTGTGATCTTAATGCTAAACAGTTTGTTGGTCACTAATACAGACCAATGATGCAGTCAAATGATCTCATAAGAATTGAGTTAATACCAGAGAGTAGTCCCAGAATGGTAACTCCAAGTGCAAGATTGAAAGATTCTAAACTGCTAAAGGCATGGAGAAGTCTGCCAGTTCATTGCTCTGAGCTTTAGCACATGTATATCAGAACAAAACTGTTTGTTTGTATAAATTCAAAACATGTCTTACTCTCAGGCTAATGTAGATCTGATGTAAATGATTTTTCTCACTTTTTATCTGATGCACTAGAACACTATGAAACATTTGATTTTTAATGGAGGCAGACAGGTAGGCTAGCAGGTTTCAATCACATAACTGAAAGGTTCGATGAGTGGGCATCATATGACAGCATTCGTATCTCCCCTGAAGGGAGAGATGCTGCTGAGGGCTCTTGACCCAAGGAATTTTAACTTGTCTTTCCCTATATTAGATCAAACCTTATTGCCTCCCATTCTCATTATATGATCTCTACGGGTTTGGTGCTAACTGTTTAATATAACAAAAGGATTCAGAGAAACTGGTTAGTTGGACTGGTGTCCTGGAGGCAGGAAGGACACTACTTGCACTCAGATCAATATATGATCTAAAAAAGCTCATGGTAGAGTATTACTATATTCATGGGAAACCTATCAAAGACATACAGTGCCACATAAGCCATAATCAGGTTTGGTATGAAGAATGGGAAGGTACAGTAGCTCCAGTTTCTTGGATCAAGAGTTCTTCAGAATTGAGACACCCCCTTCCCCATGAAGGGTCATGGCAAGAATAAATATCGAAGGATCTTTCATGAAATACTGTATAGAAGGGCCCTCACATAAATAGCACCTTCGTTTTGGAGTTCCACGTTTTCATTGGCTTCAAACTGAGCACAGCGCTGTATGACACAAGTGTGTTTAGCATTTTTTTTATTGTAATAATAATAATTCAAATTGAGTCATTGTTCATCGTGTTCCACCTGCTGGTGGTATATGCACTGTATATGCGGGGCCCTCTTGTGCTTCTTCAAACATTTAAAATTTCTTTAAATGTTGGAAGACTGTTCACTTGGAATTTTTGTTACATTTATAAAAGTGTTTAACTATTATGTGTATGAAGCAGTCATCATCTGCATTAAGAAATTATAATGTGTAGGAATAATAAGAATGTCTACAGGATAAGGCAGAAAGGTACAAGGGTAAAGTCAAAGAATGAAAAGACAGTATTCATTGCAAGAGCACTGTGGGAAGAGGGATAAAGAAGAGAAAGATGATCATCAGGTGACACTTCAGTGAAAGTATAGTCTTTACTAACTATTATGAAAATGTTGCCACCATTCAGGTTGCTAATACATATTCCTCATCAATGCTGTCATAGTGTTACTGCTAAGTTAGTGTGAAAAGAGTGATAAAATTTGTTTTTGTCAAATTCATGTCATGATAATGTTGAACAATAACAATAATAAAAAATACTAATGGATCATGTTTAATTCTTTAAGTGATACTATATATATACAGAATCCTCCTAAAACATTTTAAAAATAATGAGGTGTCTATTTTTACATTTTCTAACAATATTTCAAGATTTGCTTTTAACCCTTTCAGGGTCCGTGCCATAGATCTACGGCTTTAAGTTGAGTGTCCAAACCGTAGATCTATGCCATGAGCTCAGCTCACTCTGATAAGCTGTGAGTGGTAAATTTGGGCCTAGATATGAGAGAATACATCTACGTGGTATGTGTGCACCACATAAAACAAATCCTGCAGCACACAGTGCATAATGAGAGAAAAAAAACAGATAGAATGAAAGATATATTACAGAAATAGAGATGATTTTGATTGGTTTTAGTACTGGAAACGGCTTGAAACTGAGCTCAAAATAGCGGAAATGTTAAAATTTTTGACGATGTTCAAGAGTAAACAAATAACCTCACACGTCTAATACACGCCAGCTGGTGGGTCTAATATACGTTCACAGATGTGATGATATTATTTATACAATTATTACAATATTGCATAACAGTAAATCTTCTATTTTTTGGTTTGAATAAAAATTCGTTATGTGAATAAAAAATAAAAATGGAATTCATTTGTAAAGCCTGAAAATGTAAATAATGAACAGAGGAAATGTTAGTTTAGTGCCAGGAATGCCTGCATTGTTTATTCTGGACCCTATTTTGAAACTGGAATATTTTGAACTTTGCATTAAATTGGCCAAATTACCAATTTCCGATCACTTTATTTTGTAGTTGAAACAGTTGCCTTGGCGATTTCTTGTGCTCAATCGATAGAATAGAAGTAATACTAGTGAAATAGCTAAGAATTTGGTCGACTGGAATAATGTAATTGGCCTAAAATGGGAGTCAAAGTCAGCAAAATCGCCGATGCATAAATATCGCTGACACATCAAAATTCGTGAGAGCATAATTTCATAAATTTTCCAGCAAATTTCATACTTTTTGTTTTATTACCTTCAGAAAAAGATTCTCTACCATTTCATAAGAAAAAGTAAGAAAATTATTTTTTGAAAATTCTTGGACACTGGTGCACACTTTGAAATTTGGCCTCTGGACCCTGAAAGGGTTAATATACGTATAATATTGTATTTATAGGTAAAGATTAAACATAACGTTTAAAAGATAAACAAAGATGTATGAAAAAATCTTAATTATATATATGCTCTGATCAAAACCCTGATGTAATATGTACTACCTGAAAGTTGATCAGAAATCTGAGGCTGGAAGTTCACTCCATACTGAGAGAAAAAGTTATTGTCTAAAACTGTCACAGATGAGCCCTCACACACCTGGTTATCTTCATCTGCAAGAAAATAGCAGTATAAATTTTAAATAAGAAACCACTGCCATTATATGATACTGAACTAAGAAAAACAAGAATGTACTGCACTAAGGTTCTGTTATCCAACCAAAGTGCAGCATGGGATATATATTAGATAATCTAAACCACTGGTTACTTGCCAGAATGTTATATGTACAGTATAGGCATACCCCAGCAATTAATACACTGTATTGTGATGTATTGACCTGTTCATCATTTCGTCCTCCTGGCCCAACTCGGGTCCCAGGCCTGGTCAGATTAATTATAACACACCTGTGGGCCTACAGGGTGGGTATAATTATGCCTATGAAAACTAAGTAGATCACAGCAAAAAGACTAAATAGCCCATGGCTAACAAATAGCATCCTCAGGTCCATTGATAAAAAACATAACTATGAAAAGCAGTTCAGACTGGGATTAACCCTTTGACTGTCGCGGCCGTATATATACGTTTACGAGGTACCATGTTTGACGTATATACGTATACTCATAAATTCTAGCGGCTTCAAATCAGGCAGGAGAAAGCTGGTAGGCCCACATGTGAGAGAATGGGTCTGTGTGGTCAGTGTGCACCATATAAAAAAAATCCTGGAGCACACAGTGCATAATGAGAAAAAAAAAACTCCGACCGTTTTTTTAATTAAAATGCCGACTTTGTGGTCTATTTTCGTATAGTATTTGTGGTTGTATTCTCGTTTTCTTGGTCTCATTTGATAGAATGGAAACAATATTATATAAATAGAGGTGATTTTGATTAATTTTACTATAAAAAGAACCTGGAAATGGAGCACAAAGTATGGGAAATGTTTGATATTTGCCGATGTTCAAAAGTAAACAAATGATGTCATTGTCCAATAAATGTCCAAATAGCCATTCTAATATGCAGTCATGAATGGGTTGATGTAATTTTTACAATTATTACAGTATTGCAGTAGTCTGCATAACAGTAAATCTTCTATTTTTTGTTTGAATAAAATTTTAAAATAAAAAGCAAGAGTAATATCAGAGGGGCCTGGAGACATAACTAATGAACAGAGGAAATGTTAGTTTAGTGCCAGGATACCTACATTGTTATTCTGGACCCTATTTTGAAATTGGAATATTTTGAATTTTTGTGTTAAATTGGCCAAATTAACAATTTCCGATCACTTTATTTTGTAGTTGAAACAGTTGACTGGCGATTTCTTGTGCTCAATCGATAGAATAGAAGTAATACTAGTGAAATAGCTAAGAATTTGGTTGATTGGAATAATGTAATTGGTCTAAAATGGGAGTCAAAGTCGGCAAAATCGCCGATTCGTAAATATCGCTGACACATCAAAATTCGCGAGAGCATAATTTCGTCAATTTTCCACCAAATTTCGTACTTTTTGTTTTATTACCTTCACAAAAAAGATTCTCTAATCGATTTCATAAGAAAAAATAACAAATTTTTTTTTTTTAAATTCTTGGACACTGGTGCGTGACTCCAGATTTGGGCCTTGGACCCTGAAAGGGTTAATAATTAAAGAACAAACCAAAAACTATACATCAGTACTTACCAATTTAATAATGAAATCTAAACAACTATATTATGCTAGTAGGTTTAATGAAATAAATATGAAGAGGACCTGGAAAATCTCCCATATCCTAGGCTATCAAAAAATAGCCAAAACCAGATACGTATAGTCTTAACTAAACCAAATGAACCTCATCTAACCTGCTGAAACAGTCAATATATTAATTGATTTCTTCTCTACTATAGGATCAATGCTAGGCAGCAAAATCTCAACATCTAATGCTCAGGCGAGTGACTAACTTCCTGGAGGTTATCCAAATTCACAATTACAAGTCGGCCATCACTAATCCAGCAATCAGTTATCCGGTTCCATCAGTAATCCGGCACTAATTTAGGCTAGCATAATTTCAAGTTTCATCATTATACTGACTCAGAAATTGTGCAGATAGTTGTAAATCCACAGCAGCAAGCCAGTGGAGGAGAAAGCAGTTATGAAAATGAAGAAGATGTAGCAGAAAGTCTCTACTGATAGGTTAATTAAGTGTATTCTAACCTAACCACTCTGTAATCCGGCAAACTCACTAATCTAGTACATTACAGGTCCCAATGATGCTGGATTAGTGATGGCTGACCTGTATAATAAATTTACTGAAAAATAAGGCAGGAAACCAAACTAATTTGCCACCACTAATGTGCTATTGCCCACTTTTGCAATTTTGCTCAACAAATCATTAGAACCCAGAACTTTCCCAACAACACTAAAGATAGCAAGGGTTACCCCAATTAACCCTTTCATTGTCAGGACCCCTGATTCTAAACTCTCACTCTGTGTTGAAAAATATTTGAAAAAAAAAAAAAAAAAAAAAAATTATTTTTCTTACCAAAATCTTAAGAATATTTTCGTGAGTGTTTTAAAAAAAAAAAATTGCAATCAGAACTTACCAAGATATAGAGGTGTGAAGTTGACAGACGGCAACAACGCCGACTGCCACTCACACGGTAATATTATTTTCACTTTTATTGTATTTTTTCTTTTATTTTTTAATATTTTAATTTTTCAAGTAACTTTTGTGGCCTGTGAGACCAATACAATGTGTAATGTATACATATCCACTTGTATGCAACACAATAACTGAACAAATATTATCATTATAATGTTTACAAAACCTGTTTACACAAACCAACAATAAAAAAAGTTGCTTATTACTATTGTTCATATTGTTATACACATATATAGTCACTGGACACATTCCTAGAACTGCTACAGCTAGTGGAAGGTTGTTGTGTATGTCTGGCCTTTGTTGTGGGTGCTGAGAGCTGCGTGGCTGTTATCACAATGACGCATTACAAAATCACCACCACCCATTATACACACCGTCTTACCCAACAAGCATGCTGTGTTCCCCACCACAAAGAGGAAATAAGTCACTTTGTCTGGCTTTTTTGGGTTATCTTAGGTTGATGGTCATCTGGGTCATCCTTCCTTCCTTCCAGTTTCTTGGGCATTGCTTTCAGTCACAAACTCCTCAAAACCACGAAATTCATCTTAACTGACACTTCCATCTGTGTTAGAACTGTCACTTAGGAACAGAAGAGTCCCAATTCGCCGGGGAGCAAGGTATTTCTTACCGCGAGGCATGGAAAACAAGACATATTGAAATGGCATTCCCACAATGCACCACTGGCTCTTATGATTTTTTTTTATACTGCACACACTGACCATGCAGACCCATTCTCTCACATGCAGCCCTAGCAACTTTCTCAAGCTAGATTTGAAGCCGGTAGAATTTTGGCATAGTAGTATTACGGGACCGCACTGGCTCTCAAGCCGTAATATTACAGGACCAACAGCAAAAGGGTTAACAATGGAGATGATCCAACTGATGTAAATAATTATGCTAATATCCAACTTGCCTATAGGTAGTAGGTTAGTAGACAGCAATCGCCCAGGGAGGTACTACCGTCCTGCCAAGTGAGTGTAAAACGGAAGCCTGTAATTGTTTTACACGATGGTAGAATTGCTGGTGTTTTTTATTCTGTCTCATACACATGCAAGATTTCAGGTACGTCTTGCTACTTCTACTTACACTTACGTCACACTACACATACATGTACAAGCATATAGTATATACACACCCCTCTGGGTTTTCTTCTATTTTCTTTCTAGTTCTTGTTCTTGTATATTTCCTCTTACTTCCATGGGGAAGTGGAACAGAATTCTTACTCCGTAAGCTATGCGTGTTGTAAGAGGCGACTAAAATGCCGGGAGCAAGGGGCTAGTAACCTCTTCTCCTGTATATATTACTAAATGTAAAAGGAGAAACTTTCGTTTTTCCATTTGGGCCACCCTGCCTCGGTGGGATACGGCCGGTGTGTTGAAAGAAAAAATATCCAACTTGACTCTGCTATCTAAAATCTTCAAAAAATTAATTCATAAGCAAGTTTACTCTTTCCTAGTGCCCCACAATATACTTATTCCCAGGCATGGGGATAAGTATATTGTACTGCTATAAAAATGCTTGAATTGCTTTTATGCAGCTCTTGAAAATAATGAATATTCTCTGGGCCTCTTCATAGAACTTCAGAAAGGTTTTGATACAGTGGATCACAACTTGCTGCATCTTAAGCTAGAACACTGTGGTATCAGAGGTCACACTTTTGCACACTTAAGTCTTATTTTAACCCTTTCAGGGTCCAAGGCCCAAATCTGGAGTCACGCACCAGTGTCCAAGAATTTTCAAAAAAAAAAATTTGTTATTTTTTCTTATGAAATCGTAGAGAATCTTTTTGTGAAGGTAATAAAACAAAAAGTACGAAATTTGGTGGAAAATTGATGAAATTATGCTCTCGCGAATTTTGATGTGTCAGCGATATTTACGAATCGGCGATTTTGCCGACTTTGACTCCCATTTTAGGCCAATTACATTATTCCAATCAACCAAATTCTTAGCTATTTCACTAGTATTACTTCTATTCTATCGATTGAGCACAAGAAATCGCCAAGTCAACTGTTTCAACTACAAAATAAAGTGATCGGAAATTGTTAATTTGGCCAATTTAACACAAAGTTCAAAATATTCCAATTTCAAAATAGGGTCCAGAATGAACAATGTAGGCATTCCTGGCACTAAACTAACATTTCCTCTGTTCATTAGTTATGTTTTGAGGCTTTACAAATAAATTCCATTTTGATTTTTTATTCACATAATGAATTTTTATTCACACCAAAAAAATAGAAGATTTACTGTTATGCAATACTGTAATAATTGTATAAAATATCATCACCATATTTGTGAATGTATATTAGACCCACCAGCTGGTGTGTATTAGACGTGTGAGGTCGTTTGTTTACTCTTGAATATCGGCAAAAATTTAACATTTCTGCTACTTTGAGCTCAGTTTCAAGCCATTTCCAGTGCTAAAACCAATCAAAATCATCTCTATTTCTGTAATATGTCTTCCATTCTATCAAATGAGACCAAGA